GTAAACATGTATGAGTTTATAAGAGTGTGTTTTATATATATATACATATCGGCTACCAGCCTCAGTCTCCTCAGATATGCACACACACACATACACACACACCTATATGGGGGTGTATGCATTTTGTATGTTTTATATATATATATATATATAAAACACACACTCTTATAATCTCATACATGTTTAAATGAATATATATATAGATAAATAAATAAATAAATAAATTTATATATATATAAAACACACACTCTTACAAACTCATACATGTAAACATACAGAATACATACACCCCCCATATAGATGTGTGTGTGTCTGTGTCTGTGTGCATATCTGAGGAGACTGAGGCTGGTAGCCGGGGGAGACGTCTGTCGACTCGACGTCCAGACGATGGAGAGACACCGACACGAGGGGCCGGGATAACTGAGAACGGATAAGTGTAGCCCAAGTGGAGGCGAACAGTTCAGTTCGGCGCAACGACGTGAGAGCAAAAGTGGCTCCGAACCGGCGAGCTAAGGTTAAGAAGATTCGCCTCCAAGTGGCCTCTTAATGCATGCCACTTGCATTAAAATGTTCACATGCTTTAGAGACGACCATCACTGCAAGTCTGGTTCAAAAGAGCAAAATATTTGCTTCTCTAATCATGACAGTCAAGCGCAGGGGGACACTAACATTTGCTGCCAACGCCTGAGAGCTCAGGAGAGCGTTGCCAATGCTACTACTTGCATCGACAAATCAGCCAAGTCTACAAAATGAAGAACAAGTTGGAAGAAGATGGGCACAACGATAGACTATATTATGTAATATTTTTGCGTTCTTGCCAAAGCAAGACGAATAGTAAAAGGGATGTACTAATATTGAGGAGTGATAAATGAGTAGTTTCCAAAGTCAGATTAATATGCCTCACGATACCATCAGCTTTAACTTATCTCCGATTTGGGTAGTTTTCAATATTATCAAACTATCCTTAAGTAAGGAAGTAGTCAGCCCAGGTCAGTTAAGGAGTTTTTAAGATTGATAAAAGTGGGTTGACCTCGTTGTCGCAACTTGGTCTTGTTGTCAGGACGAATTAGTAGTTGTCATGATTCCCAGCACCGGACAGTGGACTTGGTACGTTCTCAAATGTTTCGCTCACTTCACTTGTCTCTTTGACGAGTTAGTAGCTTAGTGCGGAGAATGGCAGCACTCACTGATGATGCCATTTGAGAATGTACCAAGTCCACTATCTGATGCTGGGAATCATGACAACTACTATGGCAGACGAATTCGGACTAGGTGCGTTCTACTAAGCCGTCCTGACAACAAGACCAAGTTGAGCTTTCTGAGAATAAAGTAAATATAAGTTTCTAAGACATTGAACTTCGCTTAGTCTCGCCTCCAAAAGATTCTTCCATCTCGAGTGGATTGTAGATTGACGTCATCATCAACACTCCCGATGGGATTCGATGCCGGATCGTCAGGCGTGCTGATGAGACCATGATGAGGATGAGACTGCAGTCTAGATCAGATGGGAAAAGCGTTTGGGAGGTATCGTGAGGCCTACTCACGTGATTGAGGAATACAATTAAACTATCGGTCCTTAATTCGCCTTAAGCGACTTTGACTGATTTGGTTTTAAATTACTACTTACGGATTGCCTCAAAACTGCTCATAGCAAAGATAGCTTTTAGATTGTAGACGACCAGATCCGATCAGCATGCACTTGCTTTCATGAAATGTGTCGAAAGACTAGATTTAAATGGATCCTATGACAAGATCACTTGACTTGAAGATTTAAATACGAAGAAAAGTTGGGTTCGAGGAAGCTCTTGTTTCATAATTGTTGAGCTTACTTCCATTTCGAGTGAAAGTGTGATGATATCCATCATGTGAATAACGAAAGCTTAGCACTTTTTCACCGGAATCGAAGGAGATTGTCTGGGAAACAGCGTCAGCATGAATCTTCCAGTCAAGAGGAATCGTCTGTCGTCTTCTGGTGGAAGCGACCTTCGAATCTCTTTACCCAACACTTCCACTCGAAATGGAAGTAGGCTCAACAATTGACGAGTTATGTCACGTGAAGCAATAGACCATAAACAGTTGGAGCATGCAGGTCGAAGACATGTTGTCAGCCAACTCGGATGAGATGAAACTGCGAATCTTTTTAAGACTAAATGAAAGCTCATTATCATGTCATATTATCGGAAGAGGCACGAGTTGAATGGAGCCGACCAAATAAAAAGGATAGCGTTTGATTAAATGATGTTAGTGAAGTGATCCTGAAAGTTTTTTTACGTTTAACCTTCTGATTGGTACAGTTCTTGAGTCAAAAGTTAATTTTGTTATTGCTCTGATTGGCGAACTTTGTTTTAGTTACGAAGAGCAGCGGAACTTTGATGGAGATTATGAGATAACATCTGTACGGAAGCTTTCATTTTGTGGTTAAGTGTGTGCGATGAAGAGATGCATGAATCGAACTCAACAGAAAGCGACAGTTGATTTCTTTTGTTTTTCGGCCGTTTGGACTTGCTACAAAGTTTAGATTTTCGCAGTCCACGTCATATCCTTTGTTCATTTTCCATAGAAAGAGCCTGAGCTTACGTCTGTCTTGTCAGCTGACAGACATCATCAAATCTGGGATTCATTCTTGTAAAAGTGCCAGACTACCGACAAGGTAAGAAGACCAGCCAATTCAACCTTACATGCTAGACAAAGTGACGTCTGAAAGGTAAAACATATAGAAACACAAAAATATGGACTGATTTATTTAGTTCGCCTTCATACTATTCTGTGTACCTAAACTTTAGTATGTTATTTGAGTGTGTGTGTGTGTGTGTCTGTCTGTCTGTCTGTATGTCTTGTTTGACATGTGTACGCGTGTAAATCAGGCTGCGAAGTTACCGATTGTCAGTCCATGATCATCAAAGTATACTGAACCAAGGCAACACGAGAGAAGACATGAAATTGTACCTCGGAACGCTTGATTGAGTAGTCCTCTCGAACCAATATGAATGTGATTAGAACCTTCTTAGATCTAACCATTTGAGTCCACCTTCTTCTATCGTAATCCTTCCATCAAGCATAAGCAGTTGCTACGCAACCTTCTATTTGCATTCATGGCACTCAATGTATTCTCCAATCCATCACTTACAAAAACCGCTCTAATCTTGCGTTTAGTTACCGACATATCATAATCAGCGAACCGAAACCATTTTTGCTCGTATCCAGTTTTTTTCTTCATGTCTACCCACCTCTGTACGTCGTCTTTACAAGCATTTTTATGTCCTCTTAAATGTTGTTGGATGGACCGATTGTTCTCACTGACGTAAGAACAGCCACAGGAGCGAGTCATTTTGTGACGGGTTGATCTCGATAATTATTCACGTGTCTCCACAAAAGAGAGCGTAACCAAAGAAAGTGTCGCTGTTTCTTGACAAGTTTCTAACCATTCCACATATCTCCTTCAAATGCGGGCATGAAGGCTAGATCAGGACATGAGAAAGGGTGTCAATTTGCCCATCTCTAGCCAAATAGTCCCTAATCAAAAATGTATTGTTCATTAAAGAGCCAGCATTATCACTTAAGCACCTAAATGAAAATTAATTTTTTTCCAGGAATAAATGTTCTATGAGATGTATTCACCCTATTTGGCTTAAGATGGAAGTATAAACTCTACTTACATAGGAAAAAATAAATGTTTTAGCTCATGCAACTCATCAGTTAAATGAGTACTCAAATTATCCGAATGAGGATTGACTTTGAGATCCTAACCCTAGTTTTGTAGCTATGTTTAAAAAGAAAGTCCAGAATAGAACCAAAACATTCAAACAAGTTAGATTTGTATTATTTTCTAATTCCACTGTTAATTTAATATTACTTTCCGCTGGCTAAATAAATGTAGAAAACTGCCTGAACTTTCTTGATTAAACTGACAAATTATAAAATACTCTTCCATCCATTGAAAAAACAACATTTTGGTTAGAGTTTGTCATGTAGACATTCGCCAAAATGGAAGGTAGTTAAGATCCAATTTAAATTCCATATATCTTTGCGTAAAAACGCTCCGTCAAAAGTGTAATAAGTATTACTCATGAATAGGTTAAGTAGTGTTAAAATATCTGAATGAATCCCTGCCATAATCCATGAATGGCTTTCCAAACTATGCCCTGAGGATATCTTCTGCTTCGTCAATTTAATAATATCATATGAGATTTTGTTTGTATCCATCCATATATTATATACTTTAGTTTTTGGTTATGAGCATATATAGGATGTAGGCTAGAGGCAGCCTGTCTTCTTGATTTGAAGATTCTGGTAAGAAACCAGAATGAGTTTCAGCTCCGACGATGACCGTTGAAATTAACGAAAGCTTCAACCATTTGCCACCCAAAACGAGGTAAGATGTCTCTTGAATTTTATCAAACTAAACGTCATAGAAGAACCATACGACAGGAGAACAACGAAATGCGGCCGTCGTCATCTTCCTCGGACACATTTTCATACCAAATTGAAGCGTCCACAACAGAGCTTTCATTGTTCAGACCACTTGGCAGATATCCTCAGAGCAGTCAATTCTGATTATAACTATTTTGGGACAATAAATCAAGAGCAACTTTAATGAGGTATCATCGTGTCGTTTGGTTATATCAAACTTTGTCAAGACAACTTGCATCGATTACGGTAAAAACGTGCTTATCTATCATCTTCATGCCACAACGTGGAATGGACTTAAGAGTTCCTTGCTAGGTCTCTTTTTGATAGCGAAAATGTGTAAATCTAAAGAGAAAAGTCTGATAGACACTCTGGTGCCTACTTAGCCCTTTTTGATTTAATTTACTTTGGACAGAATTGTACGCCGAATTTCCCAATTTGTTGTACCTTCTTCCTCTACGGAAGATCCCCTCGCGACGGGTCTCCACTTTGGAGGGAGGGTCTATGCCACGCTGAAGGACGGGCGGCCTTTCGGGAAGTGATTCTGAGGAATCCTTTTCTTCCCATCGCAGGTGCAACTTGTTCCTGTCCCCAAATTGAGCAGCTACGTTTCACTTTGCGGAGATCCAGTTGTCGAGCGCTCAGTGGTCGGCCTGTACGACCCAGATTGCACGTAGAAGTGACTCGGTAGTTGGTGAAAAAATCGGATCGTCTCGGTTTCGCTCTACCCTTTGGGCAATTGCGATGCCTGATCCACTCGTAGGCTTCGGATTGCACCAGCCTCGAATAGGCTGATAAGGCTCTGGAAGTCTGGTTACTCGGTTCCCCTGAGCCCGAGTCCGGCTTTTAAGACGTCCTACCAGACGATTGGCACGGAACGCGGGAGAAATAACACGCTCTCCAGGCTCTGGTCATGTTGACAAGGATTCTTTATCATCACTAATAACACCACCTCTGGCCTCGATGCGGCGCATGCCAGTTGAGCACATTCTAGAACTATCAGTAAATCTTGATTAAAACGGGACACTTTAGGCCGGTTGACCTGATGTAGGCTTGATGTATGAATTTCCCAAAATAAAATGAGTCTGATTGCAAGCGGACTGGTCGCCCAGAGGGCTTTCTCATCCGAAAATGTACAGCAGATTTTGCCACTTCTGCGCTTTCTCAGCCCTCCTGACTCTGGCTTCGAAACTGCCTGACGTGCAAACTGCTTGTTCGAATCCATCTTGCAATGCGGATGTGACTGAGGTGAGGTCGAAACTTCAGACAATTGTGAGACTACATTGTGAGACCTCCCTCTTGTTGCATTGACCAATTAGACAGACATGCTAGCTTTATTGGATTGGAATTATGTACAATAATTATTTATGTGATCGGCGTACTTCAAATAGATTGCAGAAACTGACAAATAGTTATTTGATTACCGAAAACCAAGTTGATGTGATCCTTTATGTATAATCCTCCTTCTTTTGCACAGATAGTTAGTTGTTGGTGAGACTTTTATTTCGTATGGAAGTGCACAAAGCAAATCACTATGATTTAGGATCGGTATTGAATATAGACTTTAACACACACACAGATTCGAGCAAAATTAGCATGAGCAATACGAAGTATACTTGGCCGAACCATTCTACATTTATGTATGCATGTTTATTATTATTAATTTGTTAAAAGTATACATACGAGGTAAGCTAGAACCTTGTGTTTGCTAACTTAAGACTTTTACAAGAATAAGTTAAACCGGAGGAAAGTACGGCTCATTTTCACCCGAAACAAGGAGGATGCCTCGTGGACCGAATGTTGAACTAGTGCCAAATGGTTGCCGTACAACGGGAAACAACCGTCTTCTTTTGGTGAGATCAAAATTCAAATTTCTTCTTCGCGCACTTTCGAACGAAATTAAAGTCCCTCCTCAAATGTTATCTCAGGCGATACATCGTAAAACAGAAGAACAAGCGGAGGATGTTCTTGATTTTATCGCAATTCTTTTCCTCTTTTCCATAAGGGGTTAGTCCAGTAGGGAGACTTTGATGAACAAGGATTCTGATACAATTGGTGTCTGTGTCCTTACAACAGGTACAGATGCCGATTTTAGGCCTTTTGATGATAAACGAGTTCAACCATTCAGGGATCATGGCAGGGATTCATTCAGATATTTTAACACTACTTAACCTATTCATGAGTAATACTTATTACACTTTTGACGGAGAGTTTTATAGAAAGATGTATGGAATTTAAATTGGATCCGATCTACCTTCCATTTTGGCGAATGTCTACATGACCCAATCTAATCAAAATGTTGTTTATACAATAAATGGAAGAGTATTTTGTAATTTGGCAGTTTAATCAAGAAAGATCAGAGAGACTTTGATGAACAAGGCTTCTGATAGATTCGGTGTCGGTGTCTTTACGAACGTTAGAGGGGCCGATTTTACGTCTGTTGATGATAAACGAGTTGAACCATTCAGGGATTATAGAAGGGATTCATTCAGACATTTTAACACTACTTAACCTATTCATGAGTAATACTTATTTCACTTTTGACGGAGGGTTTTTTCAAAGATTTATGGAATTGAAATTTAATCCAACCTACCTTCCATTCTGGCGAATGTCTACATGATAAAATTTAATCAAAATGTTGTTTTTATAATAAATGAAAGAGTATTTTGTAATTTGGCAGTTTAATCAAGAAAGATCAGGGAGACTTGATGAACAAGGCTTCTGATACATTCGGGGTCGTTGTCTTCACGACAGTTAGAGGGGTCGATTTTAGGCCTGTTGATGATAAACGAGTT